AAAAAAAAAAAAAAAAAAAAAAAAGAAGCTGTTCAAGCTAAAGAGGACACAGGTTATTTCTAGCCAATGACATAAGAGGACAGGAAACAATAGTTACCATTAATTGGGATTAGAAACAAGGAAGACTGGTTCAAGAAAGGACAGATAATAAGCTCCAAGAAAGATAAAATAGTAAGAAGCAAAGAAGAAAGGAAAAGATTTTAAAAAAAGAAATGCACAAGAAAAAATAAAGACAGGGATTACAGTATCAAAAATGCTTTTATAGTATTAGAGATAGGTAAACTACTAAATACAATTATATCCAGGCAGTCCCTGGAGCTAAAATTTTTATCCATTTTCAAAAGAAAAACTAAGCCCTAGCCGGTTTGGCTCACTGGTTAGAGCGTTGGCCCACAGATCAAAGGGCATCCAGTTCAATTCTGGTCAGGGGCATGTGCCTCGGTTACAGGCTCCATCCCCGGCCTCGGCTGGGGTGCATGCAGAAGGCAACCAATCAATGTGTCTCTCTCACATTGATGTTTCTCTCTCTCTCCCCCTCCTTCCCTCACTCTCATTTTCTCTGAAAAGCAATGGAAAAATATCCTCTGGTGAGGATTAAAACAATAATAATAAAAGAAAAACAGAAAAACTGGTATTAGAAATTATTTCACTCAACGTTTTCCACTCTACCTCTATTTTTACACATTGAAAAAAAAAGATGCCCGAAGAGGTTAGATAGCTTGCCTAAAGTTACCAACTAATTAATGGCAGGTCTAGACTAGAACCCAGGTCTTATAACTCTCAGTCTACTTTATGTCCTGAATTATCTGAGAGGCAGCTCTTACTTACATAAATCAATTACCTACGTCCGTCATGGTCAGAAATGATCATGTGGGCATATATGGCAACAACTAGCAGAACAGAAAAGGTCCAGGTAGCCTATCCCTCAAGAAAATCAGTATTACAGTAAACTAAAACCCTGAGAAATATCACTAAGGATTTGTATCAACAGCTCCATACTCCCCCCGCCCCCCCCCACACACATATAGGTGTCCCTATCCCTATACTTCAATACCCACCAGAAGATAATGCTATCCAAAGCCATGAATGCCAACACAAGTGGCTGAAACTAGTGAAAATCAAACTGCAGTAGGCATTTTCAACTGTTACCTAATTTCAAAGGAAAACATTCTCCATAAATACATACCAATTCTCAAAGATGAACTAATTCTTCTAGTAATTCATACATTAAATTTTAGAGGATAGGCCAGGGAACCTACCCACCATACTCAGTATAAGGTCAGTGGGAAAATGCATTTTAGTTCGAACAAAAAAATTATTTCATGACTCAAGAGTACCCACCATTTTTATAGCACATCTCAAGTTAGACTAGTCACATTTCAAGTTCTCAATAGCCTTCTACTATACTGCCAACAGACTGATTTAGCTTATACTGTGACAACTCCTTTCTCTGAGTTTAGAATATGGAGTGAATTAATATATAAATTATTAGTTATTCAAATACTTAACGTTGCCTTCCTTAAATACCCTAAAGTGTCCACTCAAACAGAAAACTAAATATAAAAGGAAATCTAAAGACAGTACTAGCAAAATGGAAAAGGCAAAAGTTTTGTAGAAAACAGATGAGTTAGTAAAACAGTTCTGCCACTTATAAGCTGGATGACCTTTGTCTCAGATTTTATTAAAAAATATCTATTTTGAATGTTATAAGAATTCAATACGATAATATAAAGCACATGGCATAAAGCAGACAACCTGATAAAGAATACTATCACTGATAAAAATAATCTGAAGCTGTTCCTGTCAAGGTTAAACATATTTCTTGCATGTAAAATCTTTGAAAAAATTATATGAAAACCTCTTTTTATTCTTTATCAGTACTCTTCAAAAAGTCTTGTTTCCATTTCCACCCCCCCAAATGAAACTGCCATTTTTACATGTCAAAACTGGCCCCATTTATCGGCCATTTCACATGGTTCAATCTGCAGTTTACTTGCTCAATTAATATTTTAGTGATCCCAGCCTGGGTTGCAGTTGCTACACATAAGCAAAGGATATTAAATGAGGGCTTTGAAATAAAGCAAAATTTAAAAGTTCATTCCTATTTTAATGCTTTTACTTTGTACAGAGCTCTTCCGAAAAATAAAAAGTTAATATAATAAATCTTGAAAAAATTTCTAAGTGAAACCCTAAATAATCTTTTTTTTAATCCTCACCCAAGGATAATTTTTATTGATTTTAGAGAGGGGGAGGGGAGGGAGGGAGAGGAAGAGAGGGAGAGAGGGAGAGGAAGGGAGAGAGAGGGAAACATCGATGTGAGAGAGAACATCAATTGGTTGCCTTCCGTATGTATCCTGACCAGGAATCGAACCTGCAACCTAGGCATGTACCCTGACCAGGAATCAAACCCACAGCCTTTTTGGTGTACAGGACGATGCTCCAACCAACTGAGCTACCCAGCCAGGGCTCCTACATAATCTTTTTGAATTATTTTCTAGACTATGTAAAACATACATCAGAAAAAGGTGATCAATTAAGGATCATTATACTGATATTTTACACCCAAATATACAACTGAAGAACTCTAATACTGTTAAGAGGATGACTAACATTTTAAGAGCCAACAATTAAAATCAGGGACTTCACAAGTATGAAATTTCAATAAAGACTCAAACATAGAAGACAAAATTATTTGCCAGAGAAATTTTGAGGGCGAATTCCTAACAGAACCTACCTCAACAGTTCTCAAAACTTCACAATCAAAGGGCTAAAACAAAACAAACAAACAACAAAAAACTGCCCTAACTGTAAGAGATTAGGGTCTAATGGATAGTGTAATAAAGCTCCGCTGGTGTTTCTAATATTCATCAGGGGTACAGAACCTCTGTCCTGCAAGGATTTTTTTCTCATACTCCCACATTTTATAAATCCAGACTAAATTTTAAAGCAAATAATATGTTCCTAGGCCAGGTAAAGGTCCAGGGGTTCTAGTCTACCAGAGCTAGTACTGTTCAGAATAACATAATTCAAATGACAATCACAAATATTCATGGAACACTTCTAAACATAGGTCTCTTTCACTGTAAGAAAACATCACCCCACATTACCACGAAGACAACATGTATAGCAAAAAAAAACCCTCCCTCTCCTATTTAAAGTACTGCAGTAACATTTACATATTAGAGAAACTGTTAGCAATTTAATTTGTAGAACACAGAAGGAAATTTTCAATATTTCACTAGGACCATCAAATTTCAATTACTACTGATACTGCTTCCTTTTTAAAAAAATAAAAATTAACTTGCTAAATTATAAATAAAATACTGCTTGTTTTAAATAAATGTAACCATTCAACTAAAAAACCATAATTTTTATATATATATATATATATATATATATATAAAATTGC